GTAGTGCAAGCTGAATCCTTGGGTTCCTTTAAATCAGAGCTAGATAAGATTTTAACAACTCTGAGCTATGAGTTAAGTTCTCCCCAAGCGAGCTCGATGGGCCGAATGGCCTCCTCTCGTTTGTATAGTTCTTATGTTTGTCCAAATCCCTCTAGCTGCTTGGACCCACTTCCTCTACAATCTGATTGGTTATCTCTGAACCAATCATTTTTCATTCTGCCTTCAGAACATTTTTGTATAAGTAAATCTCCAATGAGCAAAATGAAGGTGCGAAGGTAGCTGGCTGTTCCCCAACTCCTCAATGACCCCTCGACGACCCTTAGCTTGGTCCAATGACAATGCAAGCTGCATCCACGCTGGCAGCTCTGACGGAGACAGGCCACAACTAAAGATCACTTCTCACAACGTCCCTCTGCCAACTGGCTCTTTCAGAGGGAATTTTTTAGAAACCCGTGACGGAGGCACAGGTCTGGCGCTCACTCAACCCGTCGCCGCAGGGTAGCGGACGAAAAGGCTGCTGCCTTTGAATCTCTGGGAAGGATCACAAGTGTTTCGGCTCTCAAGAGGAGCTGGATAAAATGTCGCAGCCATGGAAGATTAGCCCACTCAGAAAGAAGAACAGCAGCTGAACACGGCAAAGAACGAGAGAAGGAATTGGCGGACACTGAAGCAGACCGTGCTGCAGTCCTGTGAGGACACTGAAGCAGTCTGTGCTGCACTCCTGTGAGGACACTGAAGCAGACCGTGCTGCAGTCCTGTGAGGACACTGAAGCAGAACGTGCTGCAGTCCTGTGAGGACACTGAAGCAGTCCATGCTGCAGTCCTGTGAGGACACTGAAGCAGAACGTGCTGCAGTCCTGTGAGGACACTGAAGCAGACCGTGCTGCAGTCCTGTGAGGACACTGAAGCAGTCTGTGCTGCACTCCTGTGAGGACACTGAAGCAGAACGTGCTGCAGTCCTGTGAGGACACTGAAGCAGACCGTGCTGCAGTCCTGTGAGGACACTGAAGCAGACCGTGTTGCAGTCCTGTGAGGACACTGAANAGGACACTGAAGCAGACCGTGTTGCAGTCCTGTGAGGACACTGAAGCAGTCTGTGCTGCAGTCCTGTGAGGACACTGAAGCAGACCGTGCTGCAGCCCTGTGAGGACACTTTTTATTCCCCATTTATTCAAAGCAGCAGCTGCATGTATAACTGTCTTGTACATCACTGGTCTGCTGTCATTTACTTTTATTTTCAACCCACATTAAAGCCAAACAGGGGCGGAACCAGTGCTGCTGAAAGCTGATTGGCCTCCAGAATGGCCCCTCCCCCATCACATACTGATTCAAAATATATCATTGGTTAATGAAAAAGCTGGCCCCCCTGTATGAATTATAGCGCTTCTTATGCCCACCTTAAAGAAACCATGGAATTGTCCCTGCACTGTGGACAAAGTTGAAAAAAAAAACGTTTTGCATCTTTATGCCGTTGAATACACATTAACAACAAACTCGACTTTCCCCAGTTGGTGCATCCATATAGTGTTACTAAAAGGATTATTGGAACATGCACTTTTTCAGGGCAACCTGGTGACCTGGTCCGTCAGCCTCAGTCTGACCACAAAAGCAGGCGATAGGCACAAATTGGATGGTATCCATTTGTTTGTGTCCTGCACAACTGTTCTCCAATACAAGTTGAAGCAGACTCCTCACTACACAACAATGGACAATGGGTAATCCAAAAAAGTATTTCAATCAGTCTTTTCTAGTAACCCTATTATTATACAGAGTGATTTATTGATTCTACTTATTGATTCTTCTGTTCTCAACCCCACAGTTCAGCTATCTGCTGTACGAAAGGAAAATCTTTACCAAGAGAAATTAGGCAACAAACATCTATAAGCTTTTACATAAAGCTTTTGTGTTAGATTGGAGAGTTCTCTCCGGTAATTATAAGTCATGGTAACAAAGTTTGTTCTGAGTTCCGGAACATCATTCACAGGCAGCCAATAAGCAGAAAGCTAGAAGACACTTGGAATTTTAATAATGAGTTAGAATACTTGGGTAATGAATGAGTCACAAAAAGGTTTTAGAACCACAGCATTCTGTGGCTAAGTAGATGTGCACTGGCACTGCTATTTACCACACAGATGCACACACCTGTGTAAACTTTGTTGCCATCTGGATGACTTAGAGGTATCACTAAATAAATATTAATGAAAGACTGTTCATTCAGAGACAGTGTTTATTTTCGGCAAACATTTTATTAAATATTCCAGGCCCACACTTATTCAAGAAAGTTTAAACAGTTCACCTGGCCACTAAGAACAGATTGGAGATACAAATATAGTAGATATACTGGAGATATAGTCTGAATATATGTAAATCGTCGAAATAACAGTAACTATATTGGCAAAGAACAAGCTGGACTTCCAAGCCCATTGACTTTCATCTACTGAATAAAGGTTTTTTCCCCCTTGCATCCACTCTTCCTCAGCAGCATGACCAGAATCGATCCGATACCCTGACAACAGAAACCCGGTTGAGCAGAAGTGCCACGTTCTGCAGGAGAGTCACATTTTAGGAAAATGCTTAGACTGAAGTTCACCTTTGCATTGGTATCATCAGTAAAAATGCCAAACAGACTTCATTCTCCAGTATCGTCTGTGCAATAGAAAACTCTCCAAGTTGAGTAATGTCTGTGTGATACTTACTTATGTGAAAGTGGACCTAAGGACAGGACAGGGCAGGACAGGATAGAGCAGGGTAGGGCAGGGCAGGGTAGGGTAGGATAGGACAGGACAAGCCCTACTGAGCTACTATGTGAAGGGGCTAGCTGGTAAAATAGCTTGACAGACTGATTACTATACATTACTCACAGTACCACCTGTGAGTCATTACATGGTGAGTAAGATACCAAGCTTATGTTTAGGTGACAAGGTCAGGCTGGCAGCAGTTGTGTATCTTGTATTTAAATAAAAAGGCATAAGGAGGCTGTATGGATGGATGGATGGATGGATGGATTGTAAAAGTGAAATCAGCATTCTAAATTGGTGCCCTGTAGCATGTGAGTGTGCTGGAAGATGGATTGGCAGGTCATCTGGAAGGTCGTGGTCCTATACTGGTACACTTGTGCAAAACGAAAAAAAAAAACATTAACTGAAGACTGTATTCTAATATCTTAAAATATATGTCCTCCCTTACAATTGCTTTTAGTAGCAGAAAGAGGTGGAAAATTCAGGTTCAGAAAGTACAAATCCAGACCAAGTTTTTGTTTCAACCAACCAGTTCAGTATGTAGAGTCACAGTCACAGATACTCAACTGGCTGGTTGAAACAAAGTCTTGGCCTGGATTTGTACTTTCTGAACCTTTCACTTCTGGTAGTATATTTTGATATACTGTTCTGTTAACGTCACGCAAAGCCACCTTGTATTTCACAGGGGTAAGTACTGTGGAAACATGACTGGCTTTGCACAACAGAGGGAAACTGTGTTTAACAGAATGACATAACTTGCCACAGCTCCTTCGACATTTTTCTGTTGACAAAAGTTCTTCTGTGTTGATGGCAACAGATTTTACAATTTTCTAAGATAACAAAATTAATAAATGTGATCAGTCATTGTCACATTTTAGCACATTTTCAACAGATGTGCATAAATCTTAAATAAGTCGACAGGTATCGACAGGTATCGACAGGTATCGACAGGTATTTAAGTTTCTGTGTTGGTTACATTTCTATGTTCAGCCTGTTTTGGACGAGCTAGACAGAGAAGGCTGGGCTCCCATAGTGGCCAGCACATATGGATATTTATGAGTATTTATAATGGTTCTGATTATTGACCGAAAAAAATGAAGTCTTCCAGATGGAATTTCCATAAACTCAATTAAGTTTAATCAGTCGTTTGCTTATTTAATTATTCAGGGACTTTGAATTAGTAAGTTCAGAATTAACAGAGAAAGCTAGGGTCCAAGTTTTAATTATCTAAGCTTCACTTAGCGTTTTAATTTTAAAATTAGGAAAAGTACAAAAACTCAAGAACTGTGAGTACCCATGCTGTCATTATTATATTGTTCTGGAGATCAGTAAAATACGGTTTATTTGCAGAATAAGTCAATTCTCTCTAGCGACCGACCTTTGTTTTTAAACAGGAAATAAATATGAACAAATATGTCCTCTAGACAGTAGCTGAAATATTTAGAAAAGTCCAGTTGTTTCCTTAACATACATAACACATCTTCTCATGATGATCAAAATGAACTAAGAACTATTATTGGTTTAACTGTGTGGTAGCAAACAGTCTGAAAGGTTAGGATAACTGCTAAGTAGGCAGCACATTAAAATATACCCTACCAGTCAAAAGTTTTTGCAACTTTACTCAGCTAACATACTTAACATTACTAAAAATACACTCATTATTCTTTGCTAATAAATAAATTAACAGTATGTTCACCATTTGAGTACCTTTATTAGCAAGAAAATGTCATATCTTTGATTCATCAAAGTAACTTCCTCTAGCAGTTATAAAAGCAGAGAAACTCGGTGCGCAAAAACTTTTGACCGGTAGCGTAAATATATGAGGAAGGAGTTACCTAATTGAATGTTTAGCTACGTGAAACGTAGCGATTTTATGCTGACCCCTGTCCACCAATGAAAATGTCTACAATGATACCCAGAATGAACATCAGAACTGGACCAATGGAAGAAGGTGGCCTGGACTGATGTCATATTTCTAATACCTTATATGGATGGCGGGTGTCATTTACCTGGAGTAGAGGTGGCACCATGATGCACTATGGGAAGAAGGCATGCCGGCAGGGCCAGTGTAAGGCTCTGGGCAATGTTCTGCTAGGAAACCTTGGGTCCTGGCATTCATGTGGATGTTACTTTGATACGTACCACCTTCTTAAACATCGCTGCAGACCAAGTGCACCCCTTCATGGCAACCAAATTCCCCGATGGCAGTGGCCTCTTTCAGCAGGATTATGTGCCCTGACACACTGCAAAAATTGTTCAGGAATGGTTTGAGGAACATGAACACAAGTTCCCCAGATCTCGGTCTTATCTAGCATCTGTGGGACGTGCTGGACAAGCAAGTCTAATCCATGGAGACCCCACCTCACAAGTTAGGGGACTTACAGGATCTGCTGCGAACGTCTTAGTGCCAGACACCACAGGACACCTTCAGAGGTCTCGTGAAGTCCACGCCTCAACAGGCCAGAGCTGTTACGGCGATATCAGACAGGTGGTTTTAATGGTATGTTATGTAAAGACCTTTTTAGCTGTCCTGCTGAAATGAGTAGACACTCCATAACAGACCATGACAATCATGGGCATGGATATGGATGTTTACCTTGCAATAGATGACGACACACTTCATGGAATTTGCGGCCTATCATCCATCCATCCATCCATCCATCCATCCATCCAGTAATCTTTCACCTGCTTACCTTGTTCACGGGGCCATGACAGTTCTGTAAAACAAAAATTGGGTTAGTCACCAGCAAAGATGTGAACGTACAGTATGTTATGCTAAATGCTATATGTTAACTGTGTTTAAATAGTGCAATATGATATAAAAGCTGAAACTGTTTTTCACGCTTCTGTCACAGAGTCACCTTTCATCCTGAATGCTAAGTGGCAGCAATCCAATGACGGCCGATTTCTCCGGCAGCTGAATTTAGCTCCGGCTGCACAATACTGTCTTGTGCTTAATGAGCAGATGCCGCACAGTCCGGTGAATCTCCAAGTCAATTTGCGGGCGACCGAAAAGCCCGATGCATGGCATCTCCCCTGCATGTGGACCCGCATTACTGTATGTCTGGGACATTTCAGTTTGATTTCCTTGCCTATAGCAGGACAAATGAAAACCCAAACAAGTACAATCGCAGATGTTTAGATGAAGGCTGGAGTTCTTCTTTCCTATGCATGAAGCAATAAAGAATTACTAGTCCACTAACGAGACCTCCTGCACCATATAATACTGCATACTAGTGATTCGTCCTTTTATTTATCCCTCTGGTACAGCGTGGGTCTTTTCGGGGAGAGCAGACCGAATTGTAAAATATAAGCCAATTAGCAAGAGGATCCCAGACATGGACAAGAACATGTTGACCCCAACTGCACCTTTAAAATCTTCCAGAGTAAGGTGCACCTGTGTTCTTGTAGATTGGTCGTTTTCAGGCTGCACGGGTTTTAAATGCAGATTTCACCCTTTGCTGTATATTACACATTTCCCCGGTCCTTCTTATTCAAAACCGTCGCGCTAAGCGGCCCAAATATACTTCAGTCTTTATTGTTTTTGTTCACTTTGCTGACTGTTTACTGTTGAGTGCTGTGAAGTGGCAATGTGCAAGAGTGGATTTCCATTATTTTTTTGCCCAGCGACTCCCCCCATGAACACTAGACATTCAAAACGCCCCACACACCATTTCAGTTCCATGTCAGCTGCTCACTTGTTTGTATCCCAGTCCAAACTCTGTTTGTAACTTTGATGCCCCCAGGTGAGCTATGAACCAAGCTTCCTGTTATTGCAAAGAAAAAAACCTGCCAGTGATTCTGATTGTCTAGGAGCTGGGAGGGAGTAAAAAACATGGACGGCGCAGAGGCCCCCGAGGGCCCCATTTCAATCAAAAGCACCCGGATTTTACTTAAGCACCGAGTTCTTGCTGTGTGCTGATTGGTCAGTCTCCTATAACCACGCTTGTGCCACTAATGTTAATGTGCAACAGTTGGATGAATCTTTCAATCAAGGAAACAAACGAGTCAAAGCCAAGAACTGAATTATTTAGCCAATCACAGGAGCCTTTCAGTTTCAATGTAGCTTGTAGAACCTGCAACAGCCCAGTGTCCCTGACTTGGATCAGGTGGTGCAGTGGATGTACATGAAAATGCAATAAAATGGTTTGTCTGTGAAGCGTGCATGTGTGACATTGGGGATGAAAGTTTTTTTTTTGGGGGGGGGGGTTTCTAAGAGGTGACCAATGAACTATAACAAGGAGAAAAAGGTAGTGATATATAAAACAAGATGTCCCTCAGGATAACAAAGAGAGAAGAGAGGGCACAGCGATAGCATGGTCAGCAAGACGGCTTCCGGAAACTGACTGGATGGTGGATTAGTGGACGAGGCAGAGTGACTTGCACACATTCCCATGGTCACTGGACGAAAATACCTCAGTCCCTTGCATGTACAAGGAATCCAAGAAGAGGACAGGCCCATAAAGCCCCCCCCCCAACCTCAGGAAACTCCTTGACGAGCCACATTTATAGAACCTGCACATTTCTCCCTAAGACAATGGAGCGATAGCGAGGCGGGTGATTCACCGACCACGAGTGAGAACGGAAGAGGGGAGAGAAGCCTGTGTTTATGCCTCGGGGCCACCGACAGTGACAAGCCCGAATGTCTGATGCAATGTAGTACGAGGTTTTAGCAGAGCGTTTACAACTCCCACTACCCGACCCAGGTGTCCGTCCCTAACAAACGTGGGAGGGAGACTTAATGCAAACGGTCAGCCAGTGATGGCGATCACTGCACATGAACGTTAATGAGAATTAAAACACTCATTATGTTTTTCGCATTGCGTATAAAAAATAGCAGCGTTCAGAGCTTCGCAGTGAGGACAGCTAGCTTCAGATCTGCAGTCACAGCTTCACAAATGTCCCTGTGGAAGGTGGTTTGAAACTCGCGGATGGAAGGGAACCTGCAGATTTGGCTGTTTTCATGCAGCCCTTCCTGTTTAACACTCCCTAGCGATGGGGTATGATGAGCAAGGTTCCTGGGACTGCACCACAAGAATGGAAAAGGGGGTGTGGCCTTGAGTGGGAAGGGATGGGGTTAGTGAATGGCAGGGACGCTTTAATACACGGGGTTACCTAGGCTGAAGCCCAGGGTCCCCCCCTCCTCCGGTCAATGACTGTCATCCTTGTTGTCACCAACTGTGACAACTCAAGGGCCTCTGACGATGTTAATGGTGACCAGAGATATATTTGATAGATAGACAGATTTGTTTTTTTTGATACTATGAATGTTTTTCTTTTTCTCTATTTTCCCGGTAAACCCTTGCAGATCCTGTCACCCACCCTCTCTGCCATCACAGTGACCGTTTTCCCAAACACCCACACCCAGTCAAATTAGTCCTCTGCGCTGACCCTCTTCCTATCACGAACGCACCTTCAGGAAGCCGCCTGCCTGAAGCTCATCTGCATGTCACTCGCTTTGCTGCTCAGCCACAAAATGGACTGATTTTCACACCAATAAAGCCAGCGAAGAACAAAGATAGAGCATTTGATAGTAAGCACGAAAGAGAACAAACGGAAGAGGGATGATGATGGGTAAGAATGAAAAGACTGGTTACTTGGGCTCCAGAACATACAAAGATTTACTCATCCTGAAAGAAGGTACGGGGCGCGTAATGACATTCCCGCGAAAATGGGAACAAAAAAGGTCTGAGGCATAGTGCCAAACACTGAATTTTATATAGAAAACCATTTCAATCCATTTGAAGCTTCAATGAACAAAAAGAAAATACATCAGTGTTATGAGCGGCGGATGTGGAAAGGAGGGAATACATGTGATTGGCTGCCAGAAAGGAGGGAATACATGTGATTGGCTGCCAGAAA